ACAAATTATAAGTCGTATCCAACTGAAGAGCAATGGAGTAATGCAGAAGATGTTTCTGATAAGCTCAAACTTTTTTATCATATCACTGAACAGTTTTCAGGAACTCAATATCCAACTTCTAGTCAATACTTTACAAAAGTTTGTCAAATTAAGCTAGAATTGGAAGCTTGGGTGAAAGAGCTTAATCCTTTGATTAGCGATATGGCATCTGTGATATTGTTGAAATTTAAATAATATTGGGATGATGTGCATATTTTGATGGGAATAGCTGCAATCTTTGATCCACGGTACAAGATGAGGTTGGTAGAGTTCTTTCTTCCACTAATTTATGGTGAAGAAGCTTCAACTAAAATTCGAGAAGTTCGATCCAATTGTTATGATCTCTTTCAAGTAAATTATCTGCTCCACATGATTCATTAGCATCTAGTTCTAGTGAAGTCACTAGTTTTACTCAGGGTGATCGGCTTTCGAGCTTTGATAGATTTGTAGCTTCAACTGGAGCTACCGTGGAGAAAAGATCAAAGTTGGATATGTACTTAGAAGAAGACTTGCTACCTCGAACCCCTTCATTTGACAATTTGAGTTGGTGGAAGACAAATGGATTGAAATTTCCTACATTGCAAAAAATGGCTCGTGATCTCTTAGCCATTCCCGTATCTACTGTTACTTCAGAATCAGTATTTAGCACTAGTGGGAGGTTGATTAGCCCGCATCGGAGTAGACTCCACCCCACTACTTTGGAAGCTTTAATGTATGCTCGCACGTGGTTATGGAATGACTTAAATGGTAAGTAATTTTCTCATTATTGTCTTAATAGGTATTCAATTGTTTAATTACTATATTGATACATTGAACTATGCATTTTTTCTTTTAGGTATGACTTTAACGGTTGATCAAGTTTCATGTCCAACATTGCTTGATGAAGAGGACGAGCCAGATTCAAGTGGTTTATCGCAACTATGAGACCTTGACATGCTTACATTCCTTTTGTTCCTCTAAAATTTGGATTGCCATATAGCTACTATTTAATATTGACTGTTTTTGTGGTGTAATTAGTGGTGTCGAGCTTGTATTGTGCAACTATGAGACCCTTGACATGCTTACATTCCTTGTATTGTTTTTGTTGGATTATTAGGTTGAGTCCATCTCTCTTTTTATATAAACTTTTATATGTTCTATGAGACTTTTGGAATTAGTTTGGTAATTTCACCACATATGCTCATATGAAAGTTTGTGATGCACTTTTATGTCTGAGGTATAGTACATTAGCAGTATATCTCAAAATGTTACTGTGCGAGCCATGAGATTTTTATCTAAATGTGTAATTTCAGTATGCTCTTGCCTGCAGTAAATGTCATATTATAATCCAAGTTGAATGATGGGAAATTTAATTTGCCTGCATAGGATAATTCAGAAAAATGGTACTCCTATTATTTTAGCAGTGTCCTATTTCTTTAATTCATGTCCTGCCCCTTTATACGATGTCCCTATAGAAAGGCCTGAATAATTTCATTATTTTATCTGGCCAAAACCTTTTTTTTTTAATATACCATTATATTTGGGAGTTAGGCCTATGGTTTGTTTTTCCACAATAACTAACACGTATTATTGTCTACACCGATAGAAGTAATATTCTTTTTCTGAGGTTCCAGATCTTGGAGAAATGAGAATGAAATGCAATGTGAAAGAATAGAATTACCATTTGAGCTAAATCTTTTTCACAAGTGTTCTTGCGCTAATAGGGACACTTCTCCATAATAGGGAAAAAAGCATTAATGCATAAACATATTACAAATTAGAAAAAAAATACAAGAAAGCCTAAACGGGAAGGGGCGGGGCGGGGCGGGGCGGGGAAAAATTTGAAAAAATGCTAAATAGGCAGGGCAAGGCGGGTCAAAATAATAACAGGTCAAAGGCTTGCCCCGCCCCGCCCTGCCCCATTTGACACCCCTAGGCGTGGCATGTGAGGTGTTCACTGATCCCAAGAGTCTTCAGTACCTGTTCAAGCAAAAGGAGTTGAATTTGAGGCTGTCACGATCCGGATTTCCCACCATCGGGAGTCGTGATGGCGCCTACTAATGGAGCTAGGCAAGCCAACTTAATTAACAAATCCCTTAAGCACATATTCCTTTTTAACAATTAACGGCATTAAATAAAGGCGACGGAATTAAAATCATAAGCGGAAGACTTAAATGTAGATAGATGATCAAAAATACAGAAGTTCCAACACATATATCTCTACCCCGGGACTGGAGTCACATACTCACGAACATCTAAGGGAGTACTACATACAAAGTCTGAAAGAAACATAATCTGTTTATCTCGAGTACAATGAGATGATAGCCAAATGTAAAGATAGCAGGGAGACGCCGGGCCTGCGGACGCCTGCAAGCTACCTCGCGTCTCTCTGGATTGAAGGTGCGCCCCCGTGCTAATGCTGCTGCTGCTGCTCAATACCTGGACCTGTGCAAAAATGCACAGAGCGTAGCATCAGCACAACCGACCCCATGTGCTGGTAAGTGCCTAGCCTAACCCCGACTAAGTAGTGACGAGGCTAGACTGGACCCCACATAAACCTGTGCAATTATAAATATACAACGGAAATCGAAGTACAAGGCAACTAACAATATGGGAGGGGAAACATGCTGTGGGGAGATAACAAGATTAACAGTAAATCCGAAGTAATCAATCTAGGTGCAATTTACAATTTAAAAGCGAACAAGAAACTAATACCAACACTAAATAAATTTGCATCAATAACTGTTGCGGCGTGCAACCCGACCCACAATCCTCACTGTTGCGGCGTGCAACCCGATCCACAATTACCACTGTTGCGGCGTGCAACCCGATCCACAATTAACATTGCTGCGGCGTACAACCCGATCCACAATTGTCACTGTTGCGGCGTGCAACCCGATCCACAATTAACATTGTTGCGGCGTGCAACCCGATCCACAATTATCACTGTTGCGGCGTGCAACCTGATCCACAATTTTCACTGTTGCGGCGTGCAACCCGATCCACAATGTATACCTCTCAACCTTTCCCAAGCAACAGGCACAAATAAAGGGCAGGGGAGTAAACAAGTATTTGGAAAGAAATCCCAACAAGGGTACACAAACAACCAATAACAACCATGCAAGAGTAAATCGTTATTTCTCTTTTTCTTTCATTTTCATATCCTAACTCTCATTAGCACTCGTGTCAAGCTCTAAGGCATCTCTCATTTCACATGCTCTCACCATCTGTATTTCAGACCGAGCCAATGCTCCACGAAGTTCTACAGTCACAATATCTTTCACAATATGTATACCACGTATAGAAGCCATCAATGACATGGAAGGCATAACAATATCCAAACAACTCACATATAAGGACTCACGGTCATGCTAGACCCCAATGTATAGGAACTCGTCACCATGTCTATACATCGTACTCGATCATTTAGCAGTTAGCAAATAAGACTTGACTCCTATTCCCTCAAGCTAGGGTTAAACCAAACACTTACCTCAACTTCCACGGCCAATACAATCCTCCACGACCGCTTTCCCTCTCGAATTCGGCTCCAACTCGACCAAATCTATGCAATGAGGACTTCATGATATCAATATGTGCTAAACAAATCAAACCCAATGACTAATTATAGCTTTTTCATCAATTTACCCCAAAAGGTCAAAAATGCCCCGGGCCCACACAGTTCGAAACC